AAATTATCAGTATACAAAAATGGTACTTTGTGGTTGGAAAGAAAATATTTTCTAAATTAAAAAAAAATCAAAAGAAGGGTGCAAAGAAAAAATACATAGGGAGAAAGAGAAAAAAAGAGGAGAAACCAGAGGCCAATGTCAGCTAGACCCTAGTCTGCAAGGAGGGATGGAGGAACCTGGGAGGTGGATTGGAGTTAATTCTCCTAGAGCAGTGGTTCTCAACCTGGGGGTCGGGACCCCTTTGGGGGTCCAATGACCCTTTCACAGGGGTCGCCTAAGACCATCGGAAAACACATTTATAATTACGTATTGTTTTTGTGATTAATCACTATGCTTTAATTATGTTCAATTTGTAACAATGAAATTGGGGGTCACCACAACTTGAGGGTCACAGCATTAGGAAGGTTGAGAACCACTGTCCTAGAGTGAGGGGAATACAGTTTGAGTGGGAATCTAAACCAGAGTTGAGAGCAAAGCGAGCGAAACACCTGGCCCCTGCACCCTGTCCCACCTGGTCTGCCTTCCTTACCTGCCATGAAACCAGTCCTGGCACATGTCACACTCGATCATGAAGCGGGTCACATCGTAAGGCAGCCGGCAAAGGCAGTACACTGGCACCGTGGCCATCTTCAGCTGGCCTTGGAGCGGTGTGTGGCAAGCCAGGTTCGCAGCGTCCCGAGGAGTGGGAGGCAGAAGCACACGTCCTTCCTGGACCAGGACTGGACACAAACAACACTTTTCACACAGGGAATCTGGTGCCCCAGGGTACCAACCCTCAGTTCACAAATGGGGAGTGACCACAGCCGGGGTGCAACACAGGGGTGTGGCTGTAGGGGGCAATCTGAGAAAGTCCACCCGCCTCCAGAACAGCTTTAACAAATAAAGACCGACGCTATGCCCAGGAGGCTTTCTCGCCGCCCCCTCCTCCCCCCGCGCGCATCTCCTAGCTTCCCCCCTCCACCCCTCACCCCAAGTGAGTGAGAACTTCTTTCTGTGGTTCAGGAAAATATCTGATGCCTTTAAGGAAGCTCCTTTGATCCCTCACTGCACCCTCTTCTTGCTTCCCAGAGCGCTCTTTATTATGAGACTGGGGGAGCCCAGCAGAAGACCCTTCTCTCTGCCCCCAAATAGGGGCAACTGGCGAGAGATGGGGAACCCATGGACATGGGCTCACTCCCTCGCAAATTACCTCGCTGCCTTCAGGAGCAAGGCAGAGGCGCCCAACTCAAATCACAGTTGTGGGGTCTTGTTGTGAGAACTCTCCCCGTCATCCCACCCCGACTAGTGGGAGCCCCAGCAGCCCCACAAATGAAATAAATCACAACCTCACAACTCGTCAGCTCGTCGTCTATTTCGAACACGACCGGGTTCCCGTCGCACCCCTGAAACTAAAAAGGGACGCTCCAAACCCCCCCCCGTAACTGACAATTTCCTCACACTCCCGCAACTGAGCAAGGATTTGTTTTCTTCTCGCCGCTCGGACCCTGGCAGGCATCTCCCCCCAACCCCTTCCCAATGACGAGGTCTCCTCATCCCCCCCAAACTGACCAAGATCTCCCGAGAGATTCCCCCCAACTGACAGGAATATCCCCGCAGCCCCGAAACTTACGAGAATGTCTTCACACCTCCCAGCCTGACAGGAACCTCCTCACACCCCTGAGCTGACAACAATGTCTACGGTCCCGAGCTCTACGGGGACCTCCGCATCCGCCGAGCCGCCAGGATCGCTCCCGCTGGCGAAGCTCCGTCTCCCCCGACGCGCCGGCCGCCGGGCTCGCTCGGGAGCCGTTGGCGTCGCTCGGCGGAGGCTCGGCCGGTAGTTCCGGCCCCACCGGCGGCGCGCGCCGAATTCTGGGATTTTCCCTGTCGCGCAGCGAACCTTGCTCGTCGGCCCCCGCGACCACCCGCTGGTCGCTCGGCCCCCGCCGCCCAGCGAGGCTTCCGGGCAGCTCTCTCCACGGCTCGGCCCCGGGGGCGGCCGCCAGGGCCTACTGGAGACCGCGGCTCGGGCCTAGTCCGGGGGCCGCCACTCGCGTCGTCGCTGGCCCGGCCGGAGCTCGCTGCGAGCAAAGCGACGAGGAAGGGGAGGACCCGGCGGCCGAATGGCGAGGAAGATGGCCCGAAAAGCCGCCGGGAGAAACCCGGTGGCGGTGGGAGGCAATTCGGAGTCAATAAAGTTTATTCAAAACAACGAGGAAGTTGAAGCGGAGAGGGGAGGAGAAATACGGGGTAAACAGCTACCATACTGAGAGTGGCGGCGCGGCCACAAGGAGGTGGCCCGACAGCCATCTTAAGAGGGCCCCGCACGCGAACACCCCGCGGCGGACGCGAGGGGCGGGGGGCGGGGGGGGAGGACGGACGGTCGGCTCCCGCGTGACGCCACGGGGCGGAGCCGGTCTTGAGAAAGGGGGGCGGGGCTCGGCTACCTGGGGCTCCGCTCTCCTCCTCGCGGTGCCCAATGGACGCCGAGGGCCTGGAGCGGAGAGGCGGGGGAGCCGCCATCTTAGACGAGGCGGTCGCTTGGCTCCATTTTGAGAGGGGCCAGAACCTTCCAAGCCTTCCCCCTCGGGGCCATCAGGGAGGGAAGCACTTCACCGCGACCACACAACACTCTTCCCAGCCTCTCCTCCTGTGAGAGGAGGTACACTCTGACTGGAAACTGCAAAATGAAGAGGTGGGGGCGGGGGGTTGGGGCCAGGACGGAGGCGGAGTCTTCATCCAGCCTTCCCTTCAGGCTAAGCCAGTGGTTCTCAACCTTCAGGCCCTTTAAATACAGTTCCTCATGCTGTGACCCAACCATAAAATTATTTTCGTTGCTACTTCATCACTGTCATGTTGCTACTGTGATGAATCGTCATGTAAATATCTGATCTGCAGGATGGTCTTAGGCGACCCCTGTGAAAGGGTCGTCCGACCGCCAAAGGGGTCGCGACCCACAGGTTGAGAACCGCTGGAAGCCCTTTCACCGGATCTCCGAGGCGAGTGTTTTTCACCCTGTAAGGAAGCTCCGTTGTGATCCCCAAAAGGAGGATACAGTTTTAGAGGTGACTTGCATTTCGGAGCTGGGAAGCAACCTTACGCCCTCTACTACCCCCGCGTTCTGTCCTCTGTCCCTTTCCTGTTCGTTTTTTGTCCATTTCCTAGCTCCCTGGGACCTCTCTCCTCTAACCTTATTGCTTCGCTTCAATGTAGTTCAGATCCAGTTCAAATATTTCCCTGCACAAAATACATATATACAAATATTTCCCTGCCCACTTCCCACGATTTTCTGACTCCAGCCTGAGAGTGAGGTGGGAGAAGAGGTTGAATGAATGGAGCTCCACACACCTGCTTCAAGATGGCGCTGGTTTGCTCAGGCAATTTAGAATAGTCTCCAGGAATCCCCTTACTATTTGATTTTCTTAAAGGGTCCCACGCTTTAAAAAAAAAAAAAATGGGAGTGTGTGCATCAGTTTTATCAATGATAGTGGCTTAGGCCCTGGGGGTACGATGATAGAAAGAGGGACTGTGCAGCGAGAAATTGCCAGCTAGTGCAGGAGACAAGCTTGCAAATCAACAATTGGAATCCAAGTCCAGTAAGCACGCAGATACCTCTTGCAAGGTGCGAAATAAGCTAAGAAAGTGCCTCAGCAGCTGCTTGCTGCTGTCAAGGAAGATTTCAGGGAGATTTGGATACATAAAATTTCACTTAACATTGCAGATAAAAGGATCATCAAATATAAATGCATGCAGACACCTGGGGAAACATTTGCAAAATGAATATTAGATTTTATCCTGCAAGCAATAAAAAAACACTAAAGGTTTTTGAGCAAGAACAGCTGAGTGACATTTGTGTCTTAGGCACAGGAAATGCCAGGTTTACTGGCACCTGAAACTTATACAGTTTGTGAGGTGGTGGGACTTTAAGAAAAGAATATACACTTGTGCCCGACTGGCGTGGCTCAGTGGTTGCAGATCGATCTATGAACCAGGAGACCACGGTTTGATTCCTGGTCGGGGCACATGCCCAGGTTGCAGGCTCAATCCCCTGTGTGGGGTGTGCAAGAGGCAACCGATCCATGATTCCCTCTCATCATTGATGTTTCTCTCTCTCTCCCTCTCCCTACCTCTCTGAAATCAATAAAAAAAATATTTTTTTTAAAAATAGTACACTTGTGAATACAAAATTAGGTTCAAAGGGTAGACAGTAAGAATATTTCCAGAAGCCATTCCTGAGTAATAACTATGAATAGAAGTTATATAGACCACATATAAATGTCCCAGTAAACCCAAACTAAATATGTGCCCCAAATCAACTTCCACTTAGCTGGATCTCAAAAATGTCTGAGGCAACTCCAACACCAGGGAAACTCAGTGGGAAGGGACAGCAGTTGTTTTAAATCTTTATTGTCAAAAGTATTACATAGGTCCCCTTTTTCCCCCATTGACCCCTTCTAACCCACACCCACCCACCCCCACCTCCCACCAAGGCCCTCACCACCCTGCTGTCTGTGTCCATGGGTCATGCATATATGCATACAAGTTCTTTGGTTGATCACTTCCCACCTACCCTGCCTTCCCTCTGAGATTCTGCAGTCTTACTATGCCTCTCTGTCTCTGGATCTATTTTGTCAGTTTATTTTGTTCATTAGATTCCACATATGAGTGAGGTCATGTAATATTTGCCTTTCTCTGACAGCAATTTTTTTAATGTTTTTATTAATTTTTAGAGAGAAAGGGAGGGAAAAGGATAGAGAAATAGAAACATCATCAGTCGGCTGTCTCCTGCACGCCCCCCACTGGGGATCAAGCCCACAACCCGGGCTTGTGCCCTCACCGGGAATCGATCCAGTGACCTCTTGGTTCCTGAGTTGACACTCAATCAGCAGGGACAGCAGTTTTAACCAATTGTGATTTAAGTATATTTTACAAACTTTATAAAACACATGACCATGAGACCATATGGCAAGTTTATTAAGAAACTTTACTAAGCTTTCTTAGCTTCACAAGGATGCAAAAAGGCGTTCACTTCAACAGCACGTGTATTAAATTGGAAAGACAGAGAAGATTAGCATGGCCCCTACACAAGGATGACATGCAAATTCATGAAGTTTTCACACACAAAAAAGAATGAAGAGCCCTAGCCGGTTTGGCTCAGTGGATAGAGAGTCAGCCTACAGACTGAAGGGTCCTAGGTTCGATTCTGATCAAGGGCATGTACCTTGATTGAGGGCACACCAGAGGCAGCTGATTGATGTTTCTCTCTATCCCTCTCCCTTCCTCTCTGTAAAAAATCAATAACAGCCCTAACCGGTTTGGCTCAGTGGATAGAGCGTCGGCCTGCGGACTGAAGAGTCCCAGGTTCGATTCCGGACAAGGGCATGTACCTTGGTTGCAGGCATACCCCCAGTAGGGGGTGTGCAGGAGGCAGCTGATCAATGTTTCTAACTCTCTATCCCTCTCCCTTCCTCTCTGTAAAAAAATCAATAAAATATATATTTTTTTAAAAATCAGTAACATATTTTTTTTTAAAAAAAAGAATGAGGTAAGAGACTGTTGCATTAGTCATGAAAAAAAAGGATGTGGCCTAAGTCAGGATAGTTGTAGCAGGGATAGAAAAGGACCAGATATGTAGAGATTAAATAGGCAGGGCTTGGGGACTGATTGAAATAGCTAGTGAGGGGAGCAGGGGGCGGGCTGGAAGGGGGTCAATGGGGGAAAACGGGGGACATATGTAATACTTTAATTAAACAAATAGTTTCATTCACATATATATGGTCAATATTTTAAAAAGAAAATTTAAAAAAGAAAAAAAAACAGGAGTGGATGAGTGAGTGACAAGAGTGTGTGTTCATTTCTGGGTTGCGTGTCAGAGTGAATGGTGATACCACTGACTGAGTGAGAGTACACAGGGGAAAAGCAGGTTTGGTAGGGAAGAAGAGACTAAGTTTAGTTTGGAGTATGTAGAGTTAAGGTGTATGCGGAACAGTAACTCACTGCACAATTCTTTATTGAGCATCTGCTACGCACCAGGCAGAGTGCTGGGTGCTGAGGATGTAGCAGTAACAAAAATAAGGTCTGGGCCTTCATGGAGCTGACATTCTACTGGGGGATCAGTCAATAATTAAACAAATACAGTTTCATTCATCTATTTATTGAGCACCTACTAGATACCAGGCACTGTTCTATGCACTGGGAATTCAAGGTAAACAAAACAGGAATGGTCCCTGCCTACCTGTGATTCACATTCTAGTGAGGGAGACGGACAATAAAGTGAGCCAAATAAGAGAATTTCAGGCTGCAGTGAGTGCTATGAGGAAAATAAAACAAGTTATGAAATAGAAATTTGGATGAAATCCAGTCTCTTTTAGATAGGGTAGTTAAGGAACGTCTCTTGAAGGTGCCAAGTGAGCTGAGACCGGAATAACAAGAAGAGTTGGCCAGGGAAAAGATAGGAGGAAGAAAAAGTGCAAAAGAAAAAGACCTATTGTGGTGGGAGGGTCAGTTCAGAGCACCCTCCCAATAACACCTCCTGAGCATTTATGATGGGCTGGGTGGAGTACAGGTGGGAGTTGGGGTGGGTTTGAAGACATGAATAAGAGACCATGCGTGTATCCTAAAGGAGTGTGCGTACCATCTAATGAGGGAGGCAAGGGTCAATGAACAATAACTAGTTTGAAAGAGGTCAAACTCTAAGTGCTAACTAGACGATTGAGCAACATGTGTGGGAACAAAGGGAGCCACAAGTAATTCAAATATGTTCAGTGGGTGTGTCAGGGAAGGCTTCACAGGAGGTGGCATTTGACCCAGTGACATTTGTACCCACCCTGAGCAGTTCCTCCCCAGTGTTCTTGGGAGGTGAGGTGGGGGCACTGAAGGATAATGGGGAAGGCAAAGCTGTCAGGAGTCTGAATCTGAGGCAGTTAGATTTGTTGGCAAAGGAATTTTTGGTACTGCCATGGATTGGGGTCAGCTGGCTGCTGCCCTGGAAGTGTGTGCTCTCACAGCATCAGTGCAGGATCTGAACTGGCTGCTATGGTATGAGACTGCCCTGGAAATCCCTCCCCTACCCCACCTCTGCTTAACAATTGTAAACACTTATTTTTAATTACACAGACAATAGTAAATGCATTCCAATTGTATACATTCAGACAGACTGCAGATCCCTGCTGACCACCTCAGGGGGCTCTATTCTGATTCATCTCTGCATATCCTATCTAATAAAAGAGAAACATGGTAATTGGCGTACGACCGCTACCCATCCCATTGGCTAATCAGGGCGATATGCAAATTAACTGCCAGCCAAGATGGCGGCCGGCAGCCAGGCAGCTGGAAGCTAACATGAGGCTTGCTTGCTTCAGTGACAGAGGAAACCAACGTTCCCTGCCTGCCTTGCAGGCCTCTGAGCCTGCAGTTTCAAACATTGTAACAAATATAGAAGGGAAACAAAACCCCAGAAACCTGCTTTCAGCGAGCCAGGATCTCAGAGCTGGAGTTGATACAGAGTTTCGATTATAGAACCGAAACAAACCAGATACCTGCTTTCAGGAGCGGAGGCCTAAGAGCTGGAGCCTCAGAGCTAAAGCTGGCCCAGAATAAAAAAACAAAAAGAAAAAAAAGGAGCAGTTGGGAGCTTCAGTCACCCGCCAGCCTGAAAACAGCCCTCAGCCCCTCACCCAGACTGGCCAGGCACCCCAGTGGGGACCCCCACCCTGAAGGGTGTGTAACCAGCTGCAAACAGCCATCATCCCCTCACCCAGGCTGGCCAGGCACCCCAGTGGGGACCCCCACCCTGAAGGGTGTGTGACCCGCTGCAAATAGCCATCATCCCCTCACCCAGGCTGGCCAGGCACCCCCACCCTGATCCAGGACACCCTTCAGGGTAAACTAGCCAGCCCCCACACGTGCACCAGGCCTCTATCCTATATAGTAAAAGGGTAATATGCCTCCCAGCACCAGGATCAGCGGAGCCACGAGGCCTCCCAGCAGCGGGATCAGCGTGACAGGGGGCAGCGCCCAAACCCCCTGATCGCCCTGTGGCTCTGTGTGTGACAGGGGGCGGGGCCACAACCTCCCTATCGGGCCCTGCTCTGTTCGTGACAGGGGAAGGCGCCCCAACCCCCTGATCAGCCCTTCTCTGTGCCTGATAGGGGGGAGCTCCCCAACCCCCTGATCGGCCCTGCTCTGTGTGTGACAGGGTAGAGCCATAACCTCCCCATCGGCCCTGCCCTGAGTGTGAGAGTGGCGGCACCCCAACCCGCTGATAGGCCCTGCTCTGTGGGTGATAGAGGGCGGCGCCCCAACCCCCGCCCCCCACGGGCCCTGCTCTGTGTGTGATGGGGTAGAGCCATAACCTCCCCATCGGCCCTGCCCTGAGTGTGACAGTGGCGGCGCCCCAACCCCCTGATCGGCCCTGTTCTGTGGGTGATAGAGGGCGGCGCCCCAACCCCCTGATCCACCCTGCTCTGTGTGTGACAGGGGGCGGTGCCCCAACTCCCCTATCGGCCCTACTCTGTGAGTGACGGGGGAGCTCCTCAACCCCCTGATCGACCCTGCTCTGTGCGTGACAGGGTAAGGAGCCCCAACCACCCTGATGGGCCCTGCTCTGTGCGTGACAGGGGGCAGCGCCCCAACCCCCTGATTGGCCCTGCTCTGTGCGTGACAGGGGGTGGCGCCGCAACCTCCCCATCGACCCTGCCTTGAGTGTGAAAGGGGGCGGTGCCCCAACCCCCCAATCGGCCCTACCCTGAGCGTGACTGAGGGTGGCATCGCAACCTCCCAATCTGCCCTGTTCTGTGCATGACAGGGGGCGGCGCCCCAACTCCCCAATTGGCCCTGCTCTGAGCCCGACCAGGGGCTGCACCTAGGGATTGGGCCTGCCCTCTGCCACCCGGGAGCAGGCCTAAGCCAGCAGGGCGTTATCTCCCAAGGGGTCCCAGACTGCGAGAGGGCACAGGCCAGGCTGAGGGACCCCCTCTTCCCCCCCGAGTGCACAAATTTTTATGCACCGGGCCTCTAGTCTAATATATAAAAAGCCAGGGGCCGTCACAAAACAACCAGATGGACAACTGAACAGCAGGCTACGTGGGGCGACCAGGCCGGCAGGGGGGTTAGTGAGGAACGATCAAACAACCAAATAACAGGCTGCATGGGGCAACCAGGCTCACGGGGGAGGGGGGGCAGTAGGGGAGACTAAGCCAGCAGGGGGTGCAGTGAGGGGTGACCAGGCCATGGGGGGCAATTGAGGGTGACCAGGCCCAAGGGGGGGCAGTTGGGGGTGACCAGGCCGGCAGGGGAGACAGTTGGGGGCAATCAGGCCGGCAGGCAGAGGTGGTTAGGGGTGATCAGGCTGGCAGGGGGGGCAGTTAGGAGCAATCAGGCAGGCAGGCAGGTGAGTGGTTAGCAGCCAGCGGTCCGGGATTGTGAGAGGGATGTCTGACTGCCGGTTTAGGCCTGATCCCCAGAATCAGGGCTAAACCGGCAGCCAGACATCCCCCGAGGGGTCCTGGATTGGAGAGGGTGCAGGCTGGTCTGAGGGGACCCCCCCTGCCCTGTGCACGAATTTCATGCACGGGGCCTCTAGTATGTACATATAATTGTTGAGATTAAAAATTGGTCTCATTGATGTGGCTCAGTGGTTGGGCATCAACCTATGAACCAGGAGGTCATGGTTGAATTCCCAGTCAGGGCACATACCCAGGTTGCGGGCTCGATCCCAAGTGGGAGGCATGCAGGAGGCAGTCAATCAATGATTTTCTCTCATTGATGTTTCTCTCTCTCTCCCTCTCGCTTCCTCTCTGAATTCAATAAAAATATCTTTTAAAAAATTTTTTAAGTGTTTCCTTATAGTTGAAGATACAGTAGTAGAATGAATAAACAGACATTTTGAATTATGAATAAATCATGGAGCCATTCTTTTATTTCTTTTATGACCTTGTCTTAGTCTATTCAGGCTGCTATAATGAAAATACCATAGATTGGGTGGCTAGTAAGAAAAATTTATTTTTCCCAATTCTGGAGGCTGAAGAGTCTAAGATCAAAGTGATGGCAGATGACATGTCTGGTGAGAGCCTACTTTCTGGTCATAAATGCACAGCTTCTTGCTGCATCTGGAAGGGGTGAAGG